GGACAGTATCAGGTTAACTTTGTCAGTGGAGAGGTGGCAGCCAAACTCAACCACACAATACAAAGATGCCAAGAAGCAGATCTCACCTCACAAACATTGCCATGGACTATCATGGATAGGGTCCTCAATTCCCCCACACCGCCCACACCCCACACCCCACACCCCACACCCCACACTAACACTGCACAACCCGAATTCCCCCTGGACAACCAATCTGACAGTCGACGACAGAATTAAATGCTCAGCCCGCCAAACAAGGAAAACTTTAGGCGACGCAAGTGCGTACGGTCTTCACCCGAATAGAACGGCCGGTAATTATTGCCGTATCTGGGCTGAAAGTTGTGCCAAATACAGCTATAATGACCGGGCATTCTATTCGGGTGAAGGTGGTAGTACTAGGCCTCGCACGGATGAAGTCGGAGGTGTGCTTAACTTTGTTAGGTTCGAGATTTAAGTACAACTCATACCAAGCCGGAGCAATAAGTAAGGGCATCGCCACACCACTCTCGAAATGTGCAAAATGAGAATGAACTTCCTGGTAGAAGATGACCAGATGCATCCGCCAGATGTTTGTCTTTTTCACATTTCGAGAGTGGTGTGGCGAGGCCCTAAGGGTCAAGACCTCGTACAGCTCTAGCTTCCCAAGAGATTCTGACAGCCTAATACTAGCTGAGAGGAGCCAGTATAAGGGCCAGATCCCACTGGCAAAGAGGTTTGGAATAAGTGGCTGAATCTGGACCTGTTCCACACAGAGATGCAGAAAAGCAGTTCGATCACAATCTTTTGCACCTGTCCACAAAAATGTCCAGATTCAGAGGCTTATTCCAATCCTCTTTGCCAGTGGGATCTGGCCCTAAGACAGAGAGACGAGGGCTTTGGGTTTAGAGAGAGAAATAACACACCCACCAGCTGAGGACGACACTTCTAGAAGTTCCAGTTATCAGGGTAACACGGATAGCAAAAAAAAAAAAAAAAAAAARAAAGGGTAACACGGATAGCCTTAGGGCCAGATCCCACTGCCAAAGAGGATTGGAAGAAATGTCTGAATCTGGACGTGTTTGTGGAAAGGTGCAAAAAATTGTGATTGATCTACTTTTCTGCACCTCTGCGTGGAACACGTCCAGATTCAGACATTTCTTCCAATCCTCTTTGCCAGTGGGATCTGGCCCTTAGTCACAAAGGCCGGCATACAGGAGTTACAGGACTCCGTACAGGACTCGGAGGCAAAAAGAGCACGTAAGACAGATGGGAGTCAAGTCATGAAAGTAAGTCCTGTAGAGTTAACTGAGGCAGGCAGGGGTGAGGGGTGGTATATCCTTCCCCAGGGAAGTAATCAATGCCGGCCACTTGGGCCTTCAAACCGTGATGGGGACGAGCGTGAGTGACTCGTGAGTACATCTGTAAGCCTTTTGACTTGCAGGGGCAATCGGAACCGGACTGTTGCTCCCCAGAATGGTAGGAGCTGGAATCAGCAGGTTCTGTTTCTAAAAAAAGAAAAAAAAAAGGAAAAAAAAAAAAAAAAAAAAAAAAAAAAAAAAAGAAAAAAAAAAAAGAAAAAAAAAAAGAAAAAAAAAAAAGGCAATACCTTCAAGTTCAAGGTAGCATGCGCGTGTTCAAGTCTGTGGCGCCTTTTGCTTTTAACCACCTCACTACACACCCTCACTCTTGCCCAGGGTAGACTGGGGAGGAGGAGGAGGAGGAGAGGGGTGTCACTGAGTGAGAGGAAGAAATCAGCGGAACATACGGACAGGCCACAGAGGATTCTGAAACAAAAAGTCTGAAAGATTCTGAAAATGTACCTGCTTCCAAGTTTGACAGAGACGCTATAATCGTTTTCACCCGAATAAAATGGCTGGTAATAATTGCTGCATCTGAACTGAAAGTTGTGCCAAATGGAGCGATAATCACCGGGCGTTCTATTCGGGTGAAGACGGAAGGTGCATGCATGATCATGGCTTTCTGCTTGGAGTAAAGTCTGGTCGGAGTCTGCTTGCGCCTATTTCTTCAACTAAGTGCTCATCATGGCCTTCAGTTTGAAATAAGTATCTTTAGAGTCTTCGTGTGCCTATTCCTGTAGTACATTTAGAGTCTTCTTGTGCCTATTCCTATGATCCTTATGTGACAATTAAACCACCAATACATCGCCAGGCGAACTTGAGAATTGAAGTCAAGAAAAAAAAAAAAAAAAAAAAAAAAAAAAAAAAAAGAAGAAGAAGAAGAATTGAAATAGTCTCGGCGCTTTACCCTACCTATCCCAATTTCACCAAAATGGCTGGCAGCACCAGCCAAATGAAACGAAGAGGCACCCTGCTGGTGTTCCCGTAAAGCTTTTGGCGCGAAGGGGAAAAATCCTCCTCCTCCGAGTCGGCAAAAGGAGGCTCCGATGTACTGGTGGTTCAACTGTCCAAAAATAAATGCCTTCTGTCTTCACTCGAATAGAACGCCCGGTCATTATCAATCTATCTAGACTGAAAAATTGCACCAAATGAAAAAAACCTTTTTTTTTTTTTTTTTTTTTAAGCACACAACCTCCATCTATTGGTGGGGAGCAACACCTGCTGGAAACCGGGTGAAGCATCCCATAGATACAACCATATCCTCACAGATTGGCACAAACTGGGAACTGGGCCCAGCGTCCCATAGCAAACACGTTCAGGAACCCATCAGAAAATTTCATGAGAAGTTAGGCTACCAGAGTGGCCCGGGGTCACTTGCCCGGCCGGGCCAAAAAATAAAAATAAAAATAAAAATAAAAAATAAAAAATAAAAAATATTTTAAAACTTTATTTTTTATTCTAAATTTGGTGAAGAATTTCGAAGTGACCCTGAGGCAAAAGTTGTTCAGTTTATTTTTCTGCATAACATAGGTTTTTTTGGGATTTTTTTTTTTTTTTTTTTTTTTGCTGGGGCCTTCCCTGGTCCTTGCACGGGCTGGCCACCGGGGACCCGGGCGGCCCGGCTGGTAGCCTAGATGAGAACTAAACAAGGTAGTAGGAACATACAAGAAAAGTCTGATTAGCCTAAAAACAGGAAGAGAGGAAAACAAAAACCACCAACAATCTAGCTCTTTATTCGCACCACAGAGGAAAACCATCTATATCGACCTGGCCCGTTCTATTCGCGGGTGATTCGGCTGAAGACCGTAGCATGTCCAAATAAATTACATGCACGTTCCAAATTCAAAGTCCGTTTATTCTTATTACTGTAATCCGTACCTGTTACAGTTGGCGTTTATTCAATATAAAATTTAATGGAATGACGCCGCCGCCGCCTTACTCCCTGACGTGACGTTATCGTCCGTATTAACACCCTCAATGTGGCAGCAAAAGCAAATTATACACAGTCATTGACAAGCAATGTCATGCAAAAACATATCTCGCTACCTGGGCGTGTTTTTCTTACAAAAACACGCAAAAAACACGACTGGCTATTGTCATTTCTAGAATCTAAATTAAAGGATAGTAGGAGGGATTAGTCAAGCTCCAGAGCTCACTCACTGCCGCTCAGCACAACCGACAGGCAGGAATGCCACCGAAGCCCGAGCTCGGGGTTAGGTACTTAGTCTACTAGAAAAATAGAATTGCAAATGTAGATACATCTTGAAGTACAGTAAGTTCTACTTAGTCTACTAGAAAAATAGAATTGCAAAGTCTACTAGAAAAATGGAATTGCAAATGTAGATATATCTTGAAGTACAGTAAGTTCTATAATGTTTTCCAGTTGTTCAACCTAGCCGCCCTGAACGGGAGTGAAGAGGCTCCGCTCTCCACGAGTCCACCTGCTTTTTATCCTCACGGCGCAGTCAATCCCCCCGGGCAAACAGGGGCAATCAATGCTGGCTGGCTTTGCTCAGGAGTCAGGACGACCCATTATTGTACAGGGACGCTGGACCCGATTTCGAGCAGGTGCTGTTCCCCACAAATAGATGGAGCCACCTGGGACGACTACTAGGAGGGGCTGCTCTTGTCAACCCCCCTAGAAAAGGTCGCAGGCTGTGTAAAAAAAATAAATAAAAAAAATAATAATAATAATAAAAAATCTAGCAATTGACGCTGAGATTTCTACAAGGTCACCGCACTCGGGTCCGGCTTTTGGATCTCGTGGAAAGAGCTGCCACAGTCTTCAAACTTCGAAGCCAGCAAACGAAGAAACGTCTGTCAGTGACCGGTTCAGAATCTAAGCGGACATACTCACACTCATTCTCTCCAGCATGTATTTGACTGCGATTACCAACAAATACTTGTACATTCCCGAATGTATATGACTTTGATTACAGTCAGATTCGGTCAACGAATGCTCGTGTGCAGCTGGACTCTATTTACCCCAGCGTATAGCCGGGACCTCAGGGCTATTTGGCCTTGTGCCTGTTCGGCCTGTGGGACGAGGCCGTTGGCCTGATCTCTCAGGCTGTGTGTTCATTCAGTCCGGTGAGTTAACGCCGTCGGTCCCGGTCCAGTCCGGTCAGTCCGCTGGGAGTATACCCCAGGTCCCCAAGACCCCAGCTGCAGTCTGTAATACTCTGTCTTATGATCCATTCTTCATTCTGCAATTTGTTTTGGAATTTTGGAGTACATGTGGTGTTGAGTCCTTGGTGGTGCTGTCTCTCTCCCCTTCATCTCCATCTCCATCTCCATCTCCATCTCCGCCTTCATCCTCATCCCTTCTTCTCCATGGATACAGGATCTGCCATCTTGGTATCATCCCATTACATCGTGCGAGTACCGCCCTCACAAACATTCCCATGTCATCTGCCTAGTGTCGTCCCTTACGAACACTCAAAATCGCTCGCCACTTCTTTCCCTCCTGCTCAGATGCCAATCATAATGCCATGATCACCATTGAAAGTAAACCATCCACCAGCACGTTTTCACACCTTGAAGCCCTCTAAGAGTCCAAGGTCATACTCACACGAGGGACTTGCATGGATGCGTATCTAACCACATTTACAGCCAGATTGAGTCGACGATATCCCAGTTTGAATATGGGCAACGTAACATTACCTGCACCGTCCTGCAGTTCTGCGCTTTACGAAGCTGGGGCCAAAGTTGATGTTCCTGGGCTCCAAACGTGCAGCTCTTTGACGCCATTGAATTCTGCTTCCACATCCTCTGCAAATGCTTTCTCCGAATCGTTGGCATATTAATTGCTTTGTACCTCTGCTCTCACTGGACCTGGAGCAGTTTTGTACCTCTGCTCTCACTGGACCTGGAGCTGTTTTGTACCCCTGCTCTCACTGGACCTGGAGCAGTTTCGTACCTCTGCTCTCACTGGACCTAGAGCAGTTTGAAGGAAAATGGAGATCAGCTGAGCCGCCGCATTACA